AGTGTGGGTTCATTTCTGGGCTCTGTCTTTTCCATTGATCCATGTGTCTGTTTTTGTGCCAATACCATACTGTTTTGATGACTGTAACTTCTAGTGTAGTGTGAAATCAAGGAGGGTGATACCTATAGCTTTGTTCTTTCTCAAGACTGTTCTGGTTATTTGAGGTCTTTTGCATTTTCATACAAATTTTGGAATTTACTTTATTTCTGGGAAAAATGTCATTGCTTGTTTTGATATGGATTGCACAGAATCTGTAGATTGCCTTGCCGGGTATGGTCATTTTAACAGTATTCTTCTAATCCTTTTGCACAGTATATCTTTGCATCTGTTTTTGTCATCTTCAGTTTCTTTCATCAATGTCTTACAGTTTTCCAAATACATACTTGGTTAGACTTATTCCTAGGTGTTTAATTCTTTTTCATGCAATTGTAAATGGCATTGTTTTCTTAATTTCTCTTTCTGATAGTTTGTTGTTAGTGTATGGAAACACAGCAGATGTCTGTATATTAAGTTTGTACCTGCAAGTTTACTGAATCCATGATTAGTTCTAATAGTTTTGGGGGAGCATCTTTAGGATTTTCCATATATTGTATCATGTCATCTGCAAACAGTTACAGTTTTAACTGCTTTTTTCTAATTTGGATTCCTTCATTTCTTTTTTCTTGTCCAATTGCTGTGTCTAGGATTTCCAATACTATGTTGAATAAAAGTGATGAGAATGAGCATTCTTCTCTTGTCCCTGATTTTAGAGGAAATGCTTTCAGCTTTTCGCCGTTAAGTGTGATGTTAGCATATGTGGACTTACCATATATGGCCTTTATTATGTTGAGATGTGTTTCCCTCTATACTCACTTTCTGAAGAGTTTTTTTTTTATCATAAATGAATGTTGAATTTTGTCAAAAGCTTTTTCTGCATGCATTGAGATGATCATATGGGGTTTTTTCTTCAATTTGTTAATGTGCTATATCACATCTGATTTGCGATATTGAAAAATCCTTGCATCCTGGGACAAATCCCACTTGATCACGGTGTATGATTCTTCTAATGTATTGTTAGATTTGGTTTGCTGATATTTTGTTGAGGATTTTTGCATCTATGTTCATTAGTCATATTGGTCTGTAATTTTCTTTTTCTGTGGTGCCCTTGTCTGGTTTTGGTATCAGGATGATGCCAGCCTCACAGAATGAGTTCAAAAGTATTCCTTACTCTTCAATTTTTGGTAATGTTTTGAGAAGGATAGGTGTTCACTCTTACCTAATTGTTTGGTAGAATTCACCTGTGAAGATGTCTGATTCTGATTGTTTGTTTGTTTGTTGAGAGTTTTTTTTTTAAATAACTTATTCAATTTCATTACTGGTAATCAGTCTGTTCACATTTTCTATTTCTTCCTAATTCAGTCTTGGGAGATTGTATGTTTCTAGGAATTCATCCATTTCTTCTAGGTTGTCCATTTTATTGGCATAGGGTTGTTTGTAGTAGTCTCTTATGATCGTTTCTGTTTCTCGGTTGTCAGTTGTAAGTTCTCTTTCATTTATGATTTTATGGATTTGGGCTCTCTTTTCTTTTTCTTAATGAGTTTGTCTAAAGGTTTATCAGTTTTGTTTATTTTTTCAAAGAACCAGCGCTTGGTTTCATTGATTTTTTTCTGTTATTTTCAGTCTCCTTTTCATTTATTTCTTCTCAGATCTCATTTTTATTTCCTTTACTAACACTGGCTTTTGTTAGCTCTTGTCTTTCTAGTTATTTTAGGCATAAGGCTAGCTTGTTTATTTGAGATTATTCTTGTTTGCTAAAGCAGGCTTATATCACTGTAAGCTTCCCTCTTAGAACCACTTTTGCTGCGTCCCATAGATTTTGGATCATGTGTTTCAATTTTTATTTTTCTCCAGGTGTTTTTGATTCACTGCTTTATTTCTTTGATTTACTCATTGGCTGTTTAGTAGTATATTGTTTAGCCTCCTCTTGTTTGTGTTTTTTGTAGTACTTTCCTTGTAGTTGATTTTTAAAATTTTTTTTATGAATTTGGGTTTTATGGATTTGGGATTTTTTGGGGGGGGGAGGAGATAATTAGGTTTATTTATTTATTTAATTGGAGGTACTGGGGATTGAACCTTGGACATATGCATGCTAAGCACGTGCTCTACCCCTGAGCTCTACCCTCCCCCTCCTTGTAGTTGATTTCTAATCTCACACCATTTTGGTCAGAAAAGTTGCTTGATATGACTTCTTTCTTCTTCTTTTGCTCTCTTTCCTTGTGGTTTGATGACTATCCTTAGTGTTATGTTTGGATTCCTTTCGCTGTCTTGTATGTTTATATCCATTATAGATTTGGGTTTATGGTTACCATGAGCTGTGTGTGTGTGTGTGTGTGTGTGGTTATTTTAAGTTGATAATCTCTTAAGTTCGAACACACTCTGACCACCCTGCCTTTGTACTCCCCTCACCACACATTTAATGTTTTGACATCATATTTTACATCTTTTTGTTTTGTGTACCCCTAACCTACTTATTGTGGATATAGATGGTTTTATTACTGTGTCTTTTCACTTTCCTACTAGCTTTATAAGTAGTGATCCATTACCTTTACTGTATATTTGCCTTTACCAATAAGATTTTTCCCTTAGCAATTTTTGTCTTTCTAGTTGTGGTATTTTATTTTCTACTTCGAGATGTTCCTTTAACACTTCTTGTAAAACTGGTTTAGTGGTGCTGAACTGTTTCAGCTTTTGCTTATCTGTAAAACTCTGGATCTCTCATTCAAATCTGAATTATACCCTTGCCAGGTAGAGGGTTCTTGGTTGTGGATTTTTTTTCTTTCATTCCTTTAAATATATTGTGCCACTCCCTTGTGGCTTATATAGTTTCTGCTAAAAGTCAGCTAATAGACTTAATCGTAGTTCCCTTGCACGTCTAATTGCTTTTTCTGCTTTTAATATTCTCTCTTTATCTTTAATTTAATTTTAATTATAATGTGTGTATGTGTGTGTGTGTATCTCTTTGGGTTCATCTTATTTGAGACTCTCTGTGCTTCCTGGACCTGGCTGTCCTTTTCCTTTCCCAGGTTAGGGAATTTTTCAGCTATTACTACTTCAAATAAGTTATCTACCCCTTTCTGTCTCTCTTTTCCTTTGGAACTGCTATGGTGCAAACATTAGTATGTCTGATGTTGTCCCAGAAGTCTCTTAAACTAGCCTCATTTAAAAAAAAATTTTTTTTCTATTTGACAGGTGATTTTTACCACTGTGCCTCCCAGTTTGCTGATCTGTTCCTTTGTATCATCAAATATACTGTTGAGTATAATTTAAAACAAAAAATGGACGATAACAAGTGTTGGGAAGAATGTGGAGAAATTGGAACCTTTATACCCTACCAGTGGGAATGTAAAATGATGGAGCCACTTGAGAAAACAATTTGGCAATTTCTCAAAGTGTTAAGCATAAAGTTACCATAAGACCAAAAATTCTACTCCTAGGTGTCTACCCAAGAGCAATGAAAACATATACCCACACAAAAATTTGTACATGGATGTTCATAGAAACATTATTCATAATAGCTAAAAAAAGTAGAAACAACCCAAATATTCACCAACTGATGAACAGATTTGTTAAATGTATATTCATACAGTGGAATATTACTCAGGCATGAAAGGAATGAAGTACTGATACATGTCACAACAAGGATAAATCTTGAAAACATTATGTTAAATGAAAGAATCCAAACACAAAAGATCACATAATATATGGTTCCACTATATTAATGTCTAGAATGGGTAAATCCATAAATAAGAAAGCAGATCAATGGTTTCTGGGAACTCTGGGAAGGGGAGAATTGGGAGTAACAGCTCATGGGTATGGAGTTTCTTTGGGGGTCATGAAAATGTTTTGGTATTAGTGAGAATGGCTGCAAATCCTGTTAATCTACTAAAACACATTGAACTATCTACTTTAAAGATTAAATTTTATACAGTGTGAATTATGTCCCGATAATTAAGTTAATGAATAAGTGAGATATAGGGTGTATTAGAATGTAATGTGTATAGATTTGAAACTCATTGCTGATGTGATTTAGCCACCAACTTCTGGGGAGCCTCAATTTCCTCCTTGGAAAAATAAGAGTTTAATCTAAATGATCTATAGGATGTCTTTCAAATCTAGTTTCCAACGATTCTCTCAATCTTCCTGTATGATTAGCAATTTCAGAAGAAATCCTGGAAAGGTCAACTCTAGAATAAAATTTGGCACCTTTGGTGTCTCATTGAAGGCATCACTATTTTTGAGTATTGGTCATTTTATCTACTTCCCTATTAATAATGGACAACTTTGACTTGGTGGAATTTCTGTAAGATTGTAATTTCCCATGAAGATTTCTGATTGATTGTGAGCTCATGGGGAGAAATGCTGAAGTTAAAAGTAATTTGTAAAACTGAGTATAACCACCAGCAAGAGAACAGTTTTCACAAGGGTTTAATGAAGAAAGAAATATGAGTAGCTGTTGGATTTTTGAGCCAAGTTGGGAACATATACAATAATTATAGTTGACACAAACATAGAGGGTAAAGAATAGTGACTGTGTAAGTTCTGCGAGTTCACAGATTTTGTGTAGTGCTCACAGCACGGTGGTTAAGAGCTTATGGCTCTGCCGTCGCCTTGTCTGGGTTAGGGTGCTGGGTCCACCACTTACCAAGCCACTCTGTGCCTGTTTCCTCATCTGTCACATGGCTGCAGTAGTTGTACCTCCCTGTAGGACTGTTGCAAGGATTAAATAAGCTAATATGTATAAAGCACTGAGAAAGTATCTGAGCCATGGTAAGGACTCAACAAACATTAGCATTATCTGTTTTCAACAAATATTCAAATGCTTGATGAATGTTTTATGAACACCTGGCACCACTTTGACAAATACTTGTTTACAGTGTATTGTGCTGGAACATGACTTTCCTAGTAGTTTTTTCTTATTATACAGTGAAATTTTTCATGGTGTAAATAACATTTTTTTACAGAGTAAAAGCAAGAGAACTTCACTAACAAGATGAAGACCCTGCTAATTATATTTGTCCTAATAAACCTTTGGACTGAAACACTGACAGATCAGAGCCCAGGTACCAGTATATTTTATGATTGCTATTACTTAGGAAAATACATATTTTTATGTCTCAACAAATCTTTATTTTAATACATAGAGAGAAAGAAGATTTATTTACTTTAGTAAATTATTTATTTACTAAAAAGTCAAGGTAGACAACATTTCTTCATAGTTGGAGGTACACAATATCAAGCAAACTTAAGCTCTTAAAAATAACAGAAAGCCATGGGCAAAAGTCATGAATTGTGCTACACCTGGCTAGAAAAACTTTAAATATTCATTGATTTGCTTAAGTTCCAGTGTTCCATTCCTCTGTGCATAGAGTCAACCCATTTGTTTTGTAGGTCAGTTTGTGGGTTGGCCTTAATAAATGGAAGAAAAGGGAAAAAAAAGGAACCCCACAGAGCAGTCTATATACATCTGGAATATGAAAGCTAGGGTTTTCTACTCTTCTGTAATTACTAAAAACATCATTCAAAAAGTGTTTTTAGCTCTGCGCTCTGTGACCCTTGGATTCCCTGATGAATTTCAGGGTCACTTTGAAAGAAATGTCCTGCTTGGTTAGACATGCACCAGCAGGTCTCTCACTGGGAGTGTGGAGGTGGCAGATCATGACTGCTGAAGTCAGCGTGGTTGGCGCCTCCCCTTGTCCAGACCCTCTTTATCAGGCTGGCACACCTCCCCCAGCCCCAGCTGCTGGGAGGATCACCTGCCACAGCTCAGGCTGAACCCCACTTTCTCAGGGGAATTGCTCTTGGCTTTTCCAGATCCACCTTAGCCTGGAGGATATGCCCGTAATCCTCTGCTCCTTCCCTCCAGTTCTTGGGGAAGGTCTGTGGCCAATGACGGACTAATAGACGAGGGCAAAAAACTGTCCCTCTTGCCCCAGAGGGGGACACCTTGCTGGAATAGGATGCTCCAGAGTCCCCTTGGATCCAGCCACATCCTGCTTTGCTTCACACTTGCTCCTCTTTCTGTGCTTCCCCACGGAAAGCCCTATGCCCACGTCCCCATCTCAGATCTCTGTCTGCTCCAAACGAAGATAGCTGCTTACTCCATGCTGTTTCAAAAGTTAGTCCACAGACCACTTGGGGCCTTTCCAGTATCACATCATTTATTCTTTTAGAACAGTGTCAAATTGTTTTGGGTTCCACAACCCAAAAAGAAAAAGAAATGTCGGTTGACCCTGGCATCCAGTTGAGAAAAAAAAAAATCTATCGCTAACTTTACAGAGGGCCCTCTTGTTTGACATTTTAGCATAAACAAGGACGGTTTCTTCTGTGAGACCTCCAGAAGACACTTTCCTTGGGATTCTGAGTGAACCTTAACTCTAGGACATAGTCTCAAAGGAGTACTGGTGAGAAAACATCAAGGCTGAACCATCACCCTATTGGGGGTTGTTGTCTCTTATTTTAATAGGGCCAGGCCCTGAGTACGCCGACGTGGTGTTCCTGGTGGACAGCTCCGACCACCTGGGAGTGAAGTCCTTCCCATTCCTGAAGACGTTCATCAGCAAGATGGTCAGCAGCCTCCCCATAGAGGCGGACAAGTACCGCGTGGGGCTGGCCCAGTACAGCGACGAGCTCTACGCCGAGTTCCAGCTCAGCGCCTTCAGGAGCCGGGGCCCCATGCTCAACCACCTCAGGAAGAACTTCGGGTTCCTGGGCGGCTCCCCGCGCCTGGGAAACGCCCTCCGGGAGGCGCACAGGACCTACTTCTCAAACGGAAGGGACAGGAAGCAGTTTCCCCCGATCCTGGTGGTCCTGGCTTCGGCCGAGTCCGAGGATGCCGTGGAAGAGGCCGCCGAGGCCCTGCGCAAAGACGGGGTGCGGATCGTCTCCGTGGGGACGCAGAGTGTGTCCGAGGAGACCCTGAAGGCCATGGCCACGGCCCAGTTCCACTACCGCCTCCGCACGGTCCGAGACCTCAGCCAGTTTTCCCAGAACATGACGCAGATCCTCAAGGAAGCGACTCAGTACACGGAGGGAGCAGCCCACGCTGAAAGCGCAGGTGAGGCAGCCCTTGGTTGAAGAGGCGCCCCGTCCCCAGGGGACGGGCTGCACCCTCCTCTCTCGCAGACCCCGTTCTGGTTTCCGTGATTGGACATAAGGAAGTACTGGCGGTGTCCGCACCGGGACCCTACTCTCACCCCTTCTGCACTTTCCTCCGACACAGGAATCCTCTTGTGCTCCCCAGCCTTCCTGCAGCTGCATCACTCCTGCCATCATTTCAATCATTGTGTAAACCTCAGCCCTACTCTTCCGAGGCTTTCGGCTCAGAGTCCTTTCTTCTGTCTCCCAGTTCCTTGCGCACTTCCCAGGCTGTAAGATTACCGGGTTCTGTGTTGGTTCCAGCCCCACATGGCCCTGTTGCACCACGAGGGCGGAACTGGTAACTTCCATTCCTCTCCGTGTTCTTTGGGTCTGCGCCGTGCCTGGCACTGAGCCGGTGCTCTGTTTCTTAATGAGTGAATCAGTGAGAGTCCTGTGGATAAAGAGTAAGATCCTTGTCTGTTCTCTTTCCCTCGTAGTGCTGGGCACGGTGTGAGGCACACAGTAAATACTCAACAAATGCTTGTCAATATATAGGGACACTGGGTGGGAACCAACGCCTTAGACAGAGACCGGGCAGAGAAGGGGGCGCTGCGCGCTGTAAGCGCTGCAACGCGGCAGCCCTGCAGGTGCGCGCGCCATTGGCTCATCCTCTCCTGCACTGCTTCTCAGTTTGTGTGTGTGTGTGTGTGTGTGTGTGTGTGTGTGTTTTCCTTAAGGTAAAAATCTCTTTCATGAATGTCACCATCTGCTAAAGAAGTTCAGCCCATTCTGCCTCCTAGCTGTGCCCCCCCCCTTTTGAACAGTAAAGTGATTTTATTCTAGTAGCTGTAATTACAGTGCTTGTTTGTCGAAATGAAATCTGAAAACAGGTATACAAGGCAGTTGATTACTACTCATGTATTCAAAGCAGTAGGAGGTCCCACAACACCAAATAAAGCAGCTCTGAGGTTTCCCCCAATTTGAAGTTGAACTCCAGCTTCTTCAGTGTTTAGCAAAATACAAAAGAAAAAAGTAGAAGTTGTCATTTTCTTTTTTTCTTTTTTTATTGAGTTATAGTCAGCTTGCAATCTTGTGTCAATTTCTGGTGCACAGCACAATGCTTCAGTCATACCTGAATATACATAAATTCATTTTCATATTCTTTTTCACCATGAACTACTACAAGATATTGAATATAGTTCCCTGTGCTATACAGTATAAACTTGCTTATCTATTTTATATATACCAGTCAGTATCTGCAAATCTCGAACTACCACTTTATCCCTTTCCACCCCTCTCCCCCAGCAACCACAAGTCTGTATTCTATGTCTGTGAGTCTGTTTCTGTTTTATATATAAGTTAATTTGTCTTTTTTTTATATTCCAGGTATGAGTGATACCTTACTGTATTTTTCTTTATCTTTCTGGCTTACTTTGCTTAGAATGACATTCTCCAGGAACATCCATGTTGCTGCAAATGGCATTATTTTATTCTTTTTTATGGCTGAGTAGTATTCCATCATATAAATATACCACAGCTTCTTTATCCAGTCGTCTGTCGATGGACATTTAGGTTGTTCCCATGTCTTGGCTATTGTAAATAGTGCTGCTATGAACATTGGGGTGCAGGTGTCTTTTTGAATTAGGGTTCCCTCTGGGTATATGAGGTAATCACTTTTGATGGCAGATTCTGTGCTTATGTTTTTCACAGCTAAGACATACATGCTCTGGGCTTCTTGCTTGTTCCTATGTCTTGCTGGCCTTTCTGCCAGAATTCATCTTCCTTTTTTTTTGTTTTCAGTAATTTTTTTTATTGAGTTATAGTCAATTTACAATGTTGTATCAATTTCCAGTGTAGAGCACAATTTTTCAGTTATACATGAACATACATATATTTATTGTCACTTTTTTTTCGCTATGAGCTACCTACCACAAGATCTTGTATATATTTCCCTGTGCTGTACAGTATAATCTTGTTTATCTATTCTACACATGCCTGTCAGTATCTACAAATTTTGAACTCCCAGTCTGTCCCTTCCCACCCTCCGCCCCCTTGGCAACCACAAGTTTGTATTCTATGTCTATGAGTCTGTTTCTGTTTTGTATTTTATGTTCT